AAGTCAACTAATAACTTCATTTCAAATTTATTTTGTATCTTTTTTTTTATAAATTTGCGTTTTAATATATTTCAAAGCCATAAAATACGTTCGGCGCTTGTGTGTTTTTTTTAATGATAAATGGGAGCTATGCTTCTTGTCAGTGATGCTTTGATAACTTCAAAATATTTATAGTAATTTTGTCGTATCGCCAATTATTGAGTTTTAATTAAATATGCACTTTATTTTATTATCTTTAGTAATTAAATTTCTGTTAGTTACTCTTCATTTTTTAATCATTAACCTGATATATAATTAAAGAATTTATTTTCTTCACTTTCAATAAACTAGAAATTGCAGCAAAATAATACCAATGCATTAATTATTCAATTAATTTTAATTATACATACTTTACAAATTATTGTATACTATTAGAATACTATAATAAAATTGTATTACACATCTTTAATAAACCATTTTTAATACATAATATGCATATTGTTTTTGGTGTATTTAAGTATAAGTATAAAAAACCTTTGAGATGTTTTTCAAGCAATTTTCACAAATTAAAGAAGAATTAGTTTATAATTGAATTTTATATACCTTCATATTAACAAAATCGATAGATACTTTAGGTTTGAAGCAGTTTTTCATACAGTAAAAGCTCTAACATTTAATAAAAGCGGACAAAAACGGACATCTTTCTAACTATACACTGTTTTGCTAGTGGTTAATTAACATTTTTCATACAAAGTGGGTATGTTTTTTTGAATGAATGCCTTAGATAATACTTTAGAACACGTTTACTGGTCCCATCGGTTCGATTAAGAGAATTTTTACTATATTTATAAACATTTCTTCAATCTAAGAAAGTTTCCAATATAATTGATTCCAATATAAAATAGGCTATAAATTAGAGAGATTAATTAGATTTTTTTTTCCAACAAACTTTGGCTTTCAACTTTAGTTAGTATATTAAATTTCAATGTGGTTTGTTAACGATTACAGGAATTTTTCTGTCTTAAAAGACAAGATTATTATTTAAAACGCATAGTTAAAAATGAGTTCCTTGTGAACAAATTTTATTATTCTACCAATGATAGCGTCACCGATTAGAAGAATTGTTTAATTTTGCTTTTTCTTATTTCCTTATAGTTTATAAGGAAATAATTGTTTCAAACAACAATATTAAACCAATTTAATTGGGTGAAGCATGTTTAAGTGTTTAAACATGTTCGCGAACGTGTTGCTACACAGGGTTGCTTCAAAAAATTTCTTAAATGCTTACAAAATACTACAATGTTAGCCATTACATATATTGAATTCTTTAATTCCTAGGAGGAGCATACGGCAGCAGTCATTAAACTTATCTAATAATCGATAACATTTTTACAAATCCAATATATGTTACATTTATTTTTAATTGAATTGAACAATTGTGTTGAAAACGAAAAAGAATTACAATTTTTCATGAAAATAGAAAATTGAGTGGGATAATATTAATCAAGAACTGCAAAGATGTTACAAGAGATGCGAAATCAATGCTCCTTTAATCTTAATCAAATCACAACAGCTGATTGTAACAATGCAAGAAAATGAGAAATGAAATGTCAAAGTTAAACATGTTTACTTCGTTTAAAGTGTTTTATATATATATAGTGTTTTAAATATGTTTAGCCAAGGTCTATTTAAAAAAATCTTAACTTTTTAATCAAATGCAAAGTAAAAAAATTTGTTTGCTTCTAGGATATATTTATATAAACAAACCATTTTTATATAAAAAATAAACTAGACTGTGATAGCTTTCACAAACAGGCTAGTTAAACATGTTTAACTCTAAATTAAGGTATTTAAATGCTAAAAATATTAATTGAACATGTTTAAGGGTATGTAATTGTTAGTGTCTACGTATGTAATAACAACGGGCATTGTGAATACAAAAAAACTACACTTAATCTTCCTGTCGAATGATTTTCAAAATTATGTATAGCACCAGTCTTTTTATTTTAGTTGAAATGTGTTTTTTAGAATGTAACTTAATTTTTAATATTTTTTATTTAAATAACAACTTTTTGGTTAAATGCAAAGTTAAAGATACTTATTGTATTAATAAGAATAGTTTAAGTATGAAGATTTTATTTCAACATGTTTAGCTAGCGTCAGTTTAAAGAGGCTATTACTCGTAGTCTAATCCTGAAATTGTTCGATTTCCTACAAGATTTATAATCAGTTTAAATGTTATAAGAATCATATATAATATATTCGTATTATTACTATTTAGGTATATGTTATGCTTAGTAATGGTGTATTTTCTTTTAATAATCACTATTTATCACTATTCTTTTATAATCACTATTTTAATAATCACTATACAGCTTTTGGTGAACTACTAGTCAAAGGTTTGTGTATTATGAAATATTTTACTAGAGAAACATCATATAAAATACGATTTTATTTTAACTATGCATTGATATAGAATAACTAATAAACTTGAAATAATTTTTTAATATGCCTCTATTAAATCAGGTATAAATCAACTCGTTAGTGACAGCAGTTCTACGTTTTAAGTCGTTCTTCAATTCTAATTGAAAAAGTTTATGTGTTAGAAATAATTTTTCAGTCAGATGTAAATCAACTTGTTTATAAAAGCTGTCGTAATTTTCAAAATTCATTGAAAAAATAAAAACATATTAATAAAAAAATCTGATTTTTCTCAAGCTTGTCGGTATATTCAAGGAATAAATTGAGTTATCGTTAAAGTCAGCAAATGGTCGGTATTCAATTTATTATTGTTTAGTATTTGTATTTATATGCAATGCTTTTAATAATTGTCTTTGATAAATCCACAAAAATTTAATGATAAAACACGATCAATAATTCTGATCTATCCCACATACATAATCACGGGCCGCAAATGGGAATGAATTTGACATAAATAAAGTAACCTACCTATAAGTCAACCGTAGAATAGCAAAAATGAAGTAAACATGGCTCTGTATTCTACTGAGAGAAGCGAATAAAGTACTGATGCTTTTGGAACGAAATTAACCGACTAGCATAAAATCACACACGACTCAGGTGTTTTAGAGAGATCCTTAAAGAACTAAGAGAACTGATAGTGATGATGCATAAAATTATTTATTTTTTTTCAGCTAAGTCTTTCCTAATAATTAATAATATTATTATGTGTGTATTTGTCAACAAGTGTTTACATAGAATTCTTAAAATATGGTGGCCTGATCTAACATTAATATGAGAACCCGCTGAACCAAACGAATCAAAAAGCAGCACAAACTGAAATAAACAATAAAGCACAAACTGACATGGTATCCACAAGGTAGCAGAAGACCTTGTGGGCCAACAAAACATGGAGAAGAATGGTCGAAAGTGAACTATATGAAACACGATACACTTGGATCTATAGAGAAGTGCTAAATAAAGTCAGATTGACAAGAATTATTGAGGCCCTATGCCCACTGGGGAATGTATACAATAGTAGTAGTAGTAGTATAAAAGCAATGGCTTAAAATTATAATCTTATTCTACTCGTAAATAAAAATGGCTCAGTTTTTAGATCATTTTTAGTTTTTAGCTTATTTATTAATGATTTCTCAATGATCTAGCTAGGCTTGTTAGGGTTAAATTCATTTGGATTTGGGTCACCGAAATATCTCGGCTAATTGTAGGGCATCCGAGTTTGCCAAAATAGGCGCTCTTTTGCCTAAAATTCACTTCTCATATATAGGCGTTCCACTTGCTACAGTTAAACTGGCAATGAAACAAAAATACCTGGGCATAGCCAAGCAATACTTGGCTGATGAACCTCATTGCCAGATAATTGATTGACTTAGTCTAATTAAGACAAGAAACGAACTAGTCAACAAAGGCGGAATCTGCTCAGCACTTCAGCACTACGGTATCTGTACTAACGGGCCACTACAAAATAGGACCTGGCTAATTTTATGGAACTGTCAGTTTGGTTTTCCTTTACCTAATGGGTGAGTCATTACCTTTTTCGGCTTTGGTTGTATACTGATTTAAATCTGTGTACATATCAATGCTATTACTTTTGTACCACAATGGATCATTATTTGAGCTTTAGTGGGCTTTTTGGAAACAAGGCCGCCACTCCAACCTACCTACCTACTTATTAACGATTGAGTCACTGTTTCAAATTCGACAGATTCAGAATTGTAGGCCTGAATGGTCAAAAATCATATATGTACTATTAACCCATATTGATGATGGCTTATTATTCATTACCGTTTGCCGCTTTTTTAAATAGTGTTTTTTTTGTCAATGCTGACTTTAAATAAATTTTATTAGAAAAAGCTAACTATTTATGATTTAGAAATTGAAGTTTAGCAGTTCAAAATCATCTACTAATTAGCTCTTTATAAATATTACATTTTCAAATATTTAAATATCATTTGGAAATGAGTTTCAAATACATTTAGTATTTACTCGTTTTAATTATTTGCACTAAAAATTTTTTTCAACACCTCTGATGTTACTTTTACCACATAATTTCACTTAACACCTTTGAAGCTTAAAAACTCAAAAATAATAATAATAGTAGATGAAGACAAACAAACTGAAAAACTTACAGATTCATTCGTGCAAGTAAAGAAAAATGTGCGCGTGGGCATGCCGTAAACCCAGATACCAGAAGAGGGACCCTTTACTGCATTTTTTTACGTCACAAGACAAGACAAAACACAACGCAACATACTTTAGAAAAATAAACTTAATAATAATGAAATATTTATAAAAATAAAATTACAGTTGAACTGCTGGGTAAAGGCATGTGAAGTGCAGAAAACCAAACTTCATGCTAGAAATGTCAGATAAGCAATGTCAAGTCAAGTCGAGTAGAGTTGAGTTGAGTTGAGTTGAATAAGTGTACAGCATGTTTACATACTAGTTTATACAATGTGGTTGTACACTATATATAGAGTAGAGAGGAGTATGTAAGAGAATACACAAGAAAGTATCTGTACAAATTTATAGGCAAAATATTTCTATATGATGATGTTCAAAGTGCTTGTATAAAATATTTTATGATGCATAAGTGTGTATATACGTACTTGCAATAAGGCGATCACCAACTGTATTGGACCGCAGCGTACAACAACTGTGCCGATCGTTGTAGCGCGCATGCCTTGATACACGCCACCATTACCAGTTGTTGGACCAATGCTTGTACTATCGCCGTCTAATGTGACATTTGTTGCACTAGGAAAATCAAATCCGCCGCCAATACTGCCAGCTGCCATACTGCTGCTGGCAGCCACTAATAAACCACTTGGAGTTGGTGATACTGATGATGACATCGTTTGGTAATTAAAATTTTCATGTTGGCGTGAGGGAGTATTTGAGATATTTGAACCAGAATAAAGCGAAGACATCGATGAGTCCAATGGTCTATGACGTTCCATTTTGTGGCTTATTTCTAACGGTAGTCGTGTGCGCTATTAGCGTGTCTCGCATATAATAAGGCAAATAACGAAATTAAGAATATCTGCTGTTATTGTATTGTGTAGGTGTCGAAGTATTTCTCATGCAATCCTGTTGTTAATTGGTACTTTAATTATTAACAATTTTAACTATTTGACATTAAAGCTTAGATATTTTTAATGCGTTTACACTTTAATTGATGTGATATTTTAAATAAATTAAATTATTTCGTTTCGTTTTGTTGATCAAAAATTCGTTGTAAATTTTATTTTCTAATTTCGTTTAATTAATTTTATACAATTAATAATTAAATATAAATTAAATAGGGAAAAAAACTTCGTTATTTGGCAAATTTAATTTGACAAAAATAAACACGTAAAATAAATAAATTTCTAGTTTCGTTTTTTCAAATGCTCGCGACTTCACCGTTTCTGAACGTCTGTGCTTGAACGCTCCTACTGCCAACTGAAACGCTCCTCACATGCGATCACTGCTGCGAATATCGTAAAATAATAATAATAATAAAATTAAAAGTAAAAATTGCTATGACTTCATACTATGTTTCAATATTGTTTTCATTTGCTTTTATAAATGTATTGTTTTTTTTCGCTAGATTCGCTAGATTCGCTAGTTTCGTGTGATTTTTGATTTTTGCGTTTATTTTTCGTTAAGAAATTTCAATCGGTCCGCCACTAGTAGTGCTCTGGTCCGCTCATTCTATGCTCTATTCTAGTCTATTTTTATCAAGAAATAGCAAAATTACGATTACAAAACACAAATAAAAACATGCCCAGTTGTTGCAAATTTATGTTTAAAAAAAAATTATTTTCAAAATTATGTATTCGGTATTTAAAATAAGCTTTATATAAGGCAGTTTATGTATCAGTATTACTCAAGTATATTTTTTATTTATTTTACAGTAATAAAATTTAAATTAAACAAACTTTATTTCCTTTTAATTTGATCTCGTTTCTCTACTATAAAACATTATAAGACATTTTATAGAAAAATCATTGAAACACAAATCTGCGTTGAAATCTGCTGTGATTGTGCGAGCCTCGTCATTTGAAATAATCATATGTGCGATCACTGATCGTTGACGCCGTCACAATTCGCGCATCTCATAGTTACGCTTGATTTTTTCTCCTTCAGTGAGTTTAACATCAGACCGCGTTCTTCACAATTATTTCTTGTGCTTTTCAATTCCCATTTCCACAAATATACTTTACTGATTTCTATTAGTTTTTTTTTTGTCAGTATCTTTCCATTTGCTGTTTGTGTAAATATAAATTGAATTCAATTGCAAAATTCTCAAGAGAAATGCACATTAAATATTGCCTTAAGAAAAATTAGGTAATAAGTTTTAGTACTTCTATCTATAAACATACTTAAATTATATAAACATTCATTGTAACATGGAACATTTCCTCATTGCTTCTATTATTGTATATATTACAATATTTTCCACTTTATTTAGCGCAACGAAATCTTACAATTACAAGGCTTTTAGTTAAAATGGAACAATTTTGTGTAAATAATAAAAAAAAAATATCTTAAAAATTTTAGAAAATAATTGATAGAGAAATATTTTTCATCGAAATGGATATTGTAAACCTTAATTATTTCAATCAAAATTATTTATATATTTTTGACAGATTCCCGAATGTGACAATCCAACTTGCGTAAGCTTTTTAACCAGATTAGTGTTACTGATAAAATATTATCTCTTGTGAGAAGACTTTTAATCAACTTTTCTGAAAGTATTCGGTTTTAGTCTGGCCCAAGTGCAAAATCCTCATCCTAAAGCATGCTATACTAATGTTGGAGGAATTTGCATTAAGCATCTAAGATTAAGAAATCCTAACCGAAAGGTGTTTTGGTCTTTAACTGAAAGGTTAGTCATAATTATTTATATGTGTTTCGTCACTAGATTTCTCAACCCAAACTGCGTTATCATTTCAACAAAATGTGTCTATTTAAAGTAGCATATCCTCATCTCTGTTTGGATATGGACTTTTAACGATCTTATTAATGGTATCCAGCGTTACTATTGTAGGATATTAATATCATACTAATATTAATATCATCTGTAATTGAAATTAATTGGGACTTGTTATCATATTATTTGTGAGTATCCGATTTTACTCTGAGAGAGGTGGAGGATATTGATGCGAGAGCACCAGTTAATCCTTAAAAACTTACTTAAAAAACTGAATAGCTTATATAGGTATAACATATATACAGTTATGATTAGTTGTATACAGCAATACAAAGCATTCTTTGTGATAACTATATCTTGCTCCATTGAGATCGTATTTCATGAATTTCTATTCTAGTCTATTCTACTCATAGTACTTTCAAGGTTCTTAGTTTGTTAACTTCTTTGTTAACCAAATTTAAGGAGAAAGACATGAAAATTGTTCTTTATTGAATAACTCCTTGTACTTTTTGCAGAATTATATATGTTATCTCAGATTTATGCTCAATAATACAAAACTTTTTAAATTATTTTTAAAAAAAATGTGCATTATTGTAACCAATATTTCGAAATACCCTGATTATGACTATAGGCTATAGTGAAAATATTGGTGAACATAAAATGTAATTGAAAAAAATAATTTACAAAATGTATTATTTGAACAATCGATCAATTAGCCCGTTTCAAAAATAAATATTATTATTTTTAATAAATTATCACTTTTATCATAATTTTATTTTTATTGAATTATTATTTTTATTATATTATTCTTTTTGTTATATTATCATTTTTATTATATCATTATTTTTATTATATTATTTATTTTATTATTTATCATATTTTTTTTTTATTAAATTATTATTTTTATTATATTATTCTTTTTGTTATATAAATTTTTATTATATCATTATTTTATTTATTATTTATTTTATTTATTTTATTATTTATTCATATTTATTTTTATTAATTATTATTTTATTTTATTGATATTGAATTTCAGTGTCGATATATTATTATTTTATTCATACTATTTTTTCGTTTTACTTAATTTTATTATATTATTTTATTCTTATTTTTTTTATTTTTATATTATTATAATATAATATTAAATAGTAATTATTTTATTCCTATTTAATTTTTTTATACCATTATTATAATATGAAATAATAATATATTTTTATTTTACAAAAAGAATAATATAAGTTTTAATTTGACGTCGAAATCGGCTATTATATTTAATAGAAACTAGCAAACATTCTTTTCCAAAAAGAATAATGTTTTTATTAAAAACTTTTTTTAAAAAATTTGTTTATATCAATAATTCGAGGTATTTTTAACAGCACTTAGTTACAACAAAAAAATTTATTATTTTATTAACTATTTTATATTATTTTTTTTATATTATATTATTTTTTTATATTATTATTTTTTATTTGTTTTTGTTTATAATACCTCAATATTAAAAACAAAATTTTATATAAAGAATATATGGTAGTTACTTTCGCCAAAACGCTTGCTAAAAATCAAAATCAATTATTTAAATAAAATTATAATTTCTTTCCTCGATATTACACAAAATTGTTTTTACAGCAAACCTAATTAGGTGTCAAAATTAATCTTTATAAAAATTAAAAACTTAATATATTAATAATTTTCTTAATTAACATATATTTATTACATGTTCATTTCATTCATTTCGTTTATATAGGACTTTGAGATATAATTAATAATAATTTCAATTGACATTGAATTTGTTTTTATCATTTTCTATTGCAAAATTATGCTAATTAGCAACGCTGACGTTTCAATTATTTATTATAGCAGCCAGGCAGGCCTTAGTTATTCATACGAACACACGGTATATTATCCAAAGCAGCATTTGGATTTAAAAAAATAAAAAGTTTTATATAAAAATAAAATCTAATAAAATAGCACGCGCAATAAATATTCTTTTATTGTTTTATATAATATTTATTTTTAAACAAATTTTTCGAATTTATTACTTAATAAATTAATTTATAGAATGAATTTTTTTCTAAATAATTTACAACAACAAAAACGAAATAATTAATTTAGTGGGGTAGAAAGGTCAAAGGGTTTAAATAAAAAATAAATTTTTTTTATCATTTTTTAATAAATTTACGCACTGTTAGGATTTTTAAAAAACTGCACATATTAAGTGAAACACAATAACGAAGGATTAGCAACAATAATTTACTATTTACAATTATATAAAGTACACAATTTCTTATTTATTTTTATTTCTTTTTTTTTCTTGACTTAATTTTAAATAAATTTCTTAAGAAAATTTATTTCTTTTGTGCAAATCACGACAATTCAGAAAACACGCTCTGCACACACACGATACACTGACGAGACTGAATTGCGATGGAGGAACAAACAACAGACACGACGATCACTTGTACCGCCGTCGTACATGGCGCAAAAACAATAAAAGCAAACCTAAACAAACAAACAAATACAATAACAAAAACAACAGCAACAGCAAGCAAAAAAGCAAAAAGCTTGGAGGGCATAAACCAACTTAACTGGGCTATGCACAAATTTTAATGGTTAGCTGCAATGTGGCGCGGCGCATCAACAGTGATCAGCATCAGCGGCAGTGAAGGTGACGCTTTATTCTGGTTTCGCTTAACATGGTAAATGATTTCAACAGCATTAGAAAATGAAAAAGAAGAAGACATAATGTTAACAGTGCCAGAAATTGTGGCAAAATTTTGTAAACAAATGTTAACAGAAGCCAATATGTTAACAAACTGTTAACAAAAGGCGGAAGAATTATTAGCAATGTTGTAGTTGTATGGGGGAGAGATTTGAGAGCTTTGAGTGTGCAATAAAAATGTATGTAAAGTTTTAAGAAAATAAATAAACGAACAGTGCCACTGTGCGATAACTTAACAGTTACTGTTAGCTAACATGATCACTTGAGTATTGTTGCAGATAGTTTTTTTGTATCTATGTGTAGTCGTATCTGTTGGCATATTAAAGCTTAACAATTCGCTCATAAAAAAATAAAAATAAATAAAAAGAAAAATTATAAATAACCGGCAAGTGAAGTGCTCTCAAATCAACAAAAATATTCGTGCTTATTTAAAGCTTATATTTTATTCTTTGTTATTGTTTTTGTTACTAGTGCCGGTTGTTGTGACTTAAATCAAACTAACAATTAACCATAGAGTGATGCTAAAAAATGACTTTTAAAAAAATTTTTATACAATAAAAAAAATACAAAAAAAAGGAAAAATAGACCTTTTTCATGACAAAAAATTTGTATCTTGTGAGAACTCAAATAAATTCATTTGTTCGTGCGAATGTCATGGCACACTTTGGTGTAGTGAAAAAAGCCCGCCAACAGCGTTTTCGTTTTTTAGAGCGCATCGCAAAACTAATTCATAATAAAATAACAAAAAAAAAGAAACAACTTGTAAAATTTAACAAAAATTTGTGAAAAAATATATCAAAATATTTAACCAAAACAGCAAATATTTCAAAGTAATTATTTAAGAAATTTTATAAATATCGTACTATATGTTATATATATATATGTATGTAATCCTAATTCGACATATTTTTTCAAAACAATAACAAAAAAAATATTCCATAGAAAATATCGTTGAAATTTTATATGTCACATACTATATCTATATCTATTAGAGATATCTCTATATTTATATTTATAATCCACAAGGCAGTAGAAGAAGAGGAAGGCCTAAGATTACCTGGTGTTGATCAACAATAAACGAAATCAACAGCCAATCAATACACCTTGGCAGATCATACGCCAATATTGTTGAGCTCAGAGAAGTGCCAATAAGAATGCAAAAATGGAGGCAATTTGTAGATAGCTATAGAGGCAGCTTGGAATCACGTGACGCCAAGCAGGGCTTAATATATATACTATATCTCATATACAAATTTATACACTCATAGTTCGACACATTTTCCCAAAACAGTAAGATAAAATATTTCAAAGTAATTATCTTTAAAATTTTATGTCTCATACTATATTTCATATATATGTGTTTAATAACCGCATTCTTAAAAATTATCTGAAATTATTAATTTTGAACTAAAATAACTTTTAAATCTAATTCGATATGATATATTAGGTACCAAATTAGAGATATGATTTATGCACTATAAATTAGTATACAACTGAATCTATTTGGATGAACATTCTTTGAGATAATAGAAGTTTTGATCAAAGATCGTCTTTGAATTTGTGGTGGACCCCGCAATTCGGTATATATTCCAACTAGACCCGTAGGTTTCAAAGCAAGAGAGCTTTTCTCTCGTTTAAAGCAAGTTAATAGAGAGTCACTCTTCGTAAACAAATATTTAATATTTAATAAAAAATTTTCTAAACATAATAATTTGAATTATACTTTCCATTACAATTATTTTTTACTTCTTTTCAAAATAATAAATCTATACAGTAGCTATTATTTCAACATTTTACAACCTTTCAACACTACCAAAAATCTCTAAATGAAAGTGTGCATAATTTTTAAAAAATCGTGAGTAGATATTTTAAATATTTTCCTTTTGTTATAAGAAAAAATTTTCAATTTAATGTATTTTCTTCATTTGTTAATAAATTTTCTTTTTAATTTTTACAAATATTCGCCGAATTTAATGGCTGATACTTAAAGTCACGAAGGCTAACTTGCGGTGTTTAAGTTGCATGATCACTTCGTCCTATTGTTGTTGTGAGTGGCATAAATTTTATTTTGGCGCTGAATATTCAATCAACAGTAAGGGACGTAATAGTGGACCCACTTGTTGGAAGCATTTTTTTACATTATTTATAAGAAATAGTTTATATATAAGTAATTTAAAATAATGTCATATACAAATATAAGTCAAGAACAAACAATAATGATAATTAGGTTTGGCTTTCTGAAGCTTTAAGTCTCTACACACAAATAGTGTTGTTAGAAATTAATTATAAACCAGTTCGATTAACTATTTAGCCTTAACTATTCGACCTTAACTATTTAGCAATTTTAGTTAAAAATATAGATTCACGGATAAGCTTCCCTCAGTGCTAAGCGATATAAGTACCTAAGAGACCTGACTAATAGTGCTGTAATCCTATTGAGCACTATCAAGTGGGCCTCAATACTCTTGCGGTGTTTTCTTTATTCTCTATCTGACCCGCAGAAAATTTTTAGCTTTCTTGCAAATTGAAGATTTACGACAACTTTCTATTCGGCTATATCTTTTCTTTTTTGGAATCGGGTTATATTAAAACATTTTGTCCATGATAAAAATAACTAGTGTTATTAATTCTAAATTTTATTTTTGTTTTTTCTAATTTATCTTCAGCTAATCCCATCTTACAAAAAATTTAAACACCTTCTTATAGTAATATTTTATTATCGCTACATAACGTATTAATCGTTTTCATCCGTTTGTCGACTAAAAACCAAGCGATTACATTGGTTAACAGTAGGGAAATAGATGAATTAACATTGTTAAATATAATTGTTTTGTCATACTGATCAAGAATATGTGGTACGTATAGTATATATGGTCTACGAAGTTTCTTTAATCGCTTTACAATGGTCTCAGAATTTTCGTTAATCGCTTTACAATTAGGTTATCAAGCTTAATATATTTCTTTTTTTTGAAATAATTTGTGTAAAGCTTGTGGACACTACATAGAATATAAATACTTTTTTCCTCAATCTCCAATTTGAATTATATTTTATGAATATTAAAAAAAACCAAGAAGTGATTTATTTTCTGTAAATGTTTACAATATCTACTTGAACTTAAACATTTAGAATTTAATTGAGATTAATGGACGCGATGAAAGTACCCACAGTGAAATAAGAGGAACAATTGAAAGCCACTTAAGTGTTCGTACTCTACATATGCCAAAAATAATAACGAATTTAGAAAACATAAGTGGTGTGGCAGTATAATCGGTCTTTAATATAATGTTTCATTTCATCGTTATGACATTATAAAGAGATAACTTAGAAAACTTGTTAAGAAAATGTGAATATGTAAATTTTACTTTTTGTAAATTATGGAATGCCTATACATGAAAATGTTTATTGAAATTTATAAGTGATTTTTTACTTTTCAAGGAAAAACTTGGTACGTGAATAATAGAATACAGTCAACAGAATGTTTAAATTGGTGATAGTGTATCCACTTAAATAATGATTTATTAATATGTTGAACAATATTAAATGTAAAAATATTTATAAATTTTAATGCATTTAGAAAAAATACCATATAGTTCAATACAATATAATAGAATGATGTATATTTAAACTTTTAAAAGTCATTTTAAGGTATAGAATATACTGACAATTTCTCTAGTTATTTGAAAATGTCCATAAATTTGATTTTTGAATCTGATATAGAACATTTCTATTTTCTACATAAATAATTCAATTTCAATGATAACAATAATAATATCTAATACAGATTTTAAAACTCAAACACGATTTATTGCACCGAATTTGCACCACCTTGTATCTAGATAGCACTCAAACTGATTTTATTTAAAATTTTTAAAAGCATAGTCTACTGATATTTAATTTTTATTGATTTATTTATAATAATAATGTATAATACAAAATTCTTATAAGTTAAAATAATGGCGAGTTACGTTTAATTAAAGTTACTATTTTTAAAATAAAAATGAAACTATATTAAGAAACTCCCACACTTTAATTGCAAATAACTAACAGCCTAAAACTATGCAAAGATTTTGAATTAAATTTGCTGGTAACTTCAATATTTTTTTATTAAATAAAAACATATTTTTCAAAATTTGTAATTAGATCTTTATTTTGTTTTATACTTGTTATATCTTTTTATAAAAATAATAATGACAAGAGGAAAAAGTTCACAGAGTGACTGAATATACGTGCCAAACCATTCCTCTACTTTGATGAGGAAGTGCTGAGTGACACTCTCAACAGAGATAATATCATCAGGCTCTATGAAGTTACTATAACAATCAGATCGTTTATTAAATTTTTTAACAAAATACATTAACTACAATGCACAATTTATAACTAAATCAAATGTTCGAAAAGCAGTTTAAAAAGCTAAGTAGGGATATCAATAGCAAATAATATTTTGCATCTCTGGAAGATAAAAATAGATCTGTTTGAACAGATTAAATAAATACCTCAAACTTTGTAAAACAGTTTTTTGACAGAATCTTAAATATACTCGTATTATATAGTATATAGTTAATATTTAGTAACTGTCATTTTTGAGATTATATGATTCAAGTACGACTATATCTTCTTAGTTAATTCTTTAAATACTTTAATTCTGAAAAATATCTATAGTATTTTTTTAAAGAAATTCCTGAGTTAATGGCCGATAAATTTAATAATTTTTTTTTGAGAACTTGCTCAGTTCCTAATTGTACTAAATCTTAAGGTCAATTAACTGTCTGAATGAAGAATATTAATTATTGCTTGGATTCCCAAGAAGAAGAATAGGAAAAAACGCTGTAGTTAGTGAAGCATATTCATAATATTTCCTAAATAATACTGACTTGTAGTGATAAAAATTTTTTGAGACCAAATCAAATTAATTTTAAATGTTATGTTATGTGCAAATTTTCTATACAAGTTCATACCAACTTATTCCTCCCATTTAGAAGAGACGTTTTGATATATTGAATACAATTATTGGAATTAGGAAATGAGTGATGAAGCTCTCAATTAAAATTTCCAAAAATAAATTCATGATAATCTCTAGGACTACATATGAATATCTAAACAACATGGTTACGACTAACTATGAAACAATATTTATAAAACTAGAAGGGTTCGAATAGTAATAAATAAACAACCACAAAAATTTAATTAATTTATTGAAATTTGACTGACCTACAACGCTGTTTATTGTATGTTTAGCCATTATTATTGGCATTGTATGGTCAGCTAAATTTCAATAAATTAATCAAATTTTTGTTGTTGCATCTTCATTATTGTTTAAACCATTCTAGTTACTTTTTATCGTAAGACGCGTCACATACGAAAAAAAAATTAACATTAATATTTATAAAATTTTAAAGATGATACTAACCTCATTTGAAAATCCTAATAATTTTATAGATCTATAAAAATATATATAGATCTTCTAGACTATTTATTTGTACAAATTTTTATAAATTAAAATTTTTAACATTTGGTTAAGTGCAACTAATACGCTTAAATGCAGTAACGGCATTTTGCCAATGAATTTAAAAATTGTATCTACAGACGCAACTGACGGATTTCGCAGTATAAGCAGAATTGTAAAGTATAAGACTCATTAAATTTTTATATATATAGGATGAAATTTACTTTAAATCTTAAATAATAATGTTTTATTTCAAAATGATGTTATAGTTTTGAATAATAATGCATAAAAAATATTAAATATTAATTTAATGATAATGAAATATTTTTACAATAATCATTTATTGTTTAAAAAATTTTGGGAGTAAAGTCTGTCAGTTGCACTTAAAACAGTGTGTTTTACGGTAGTTTCAAAATAAACTATTGAATTTAAGTATTTAGACATTACTTAAAATGTATTAATCTTCTATAGAAAATTTGTATTTACTGTTATAATTCATAATTTATAGATATTTTTAAAAAGATACCGGCGCTTATCCTTAAAATACTTATGTTGGAGAACCATTAATAATGTATAACTTTTAGTACATATTGCAGCGGCATTCTACTAAAAAGAGTTCTTTTTATCAAGAATAAACAAAGGTGGCTGATACACACTGTATAAAACAAACACTCAGATAAAAAACTGAGTAGTAAAATCAAATCTTAAGAGCAGAAATATCTTTGGTCATAGGATTATAAAAAGTATAAAGTAACTTGGCGTATATTTAAACATTTGAAAAACATTTAATAACATTCAATTTAAATACAGCTAGTTGATTAAAAGCTAGACACATATAGACGTTGTCGTAAAAGGAACTTTGCCAACAATGCAATTGCTACTATACATGATCTACGGAATTTTCACAATGATTGATAGACTCATAATGTCCCCGGTTAAATTAAAAATCAGTCTCGCATTGGAGAACAGTGTACCTCATGAGAACTTAATTATAATATTTCAGTTCTCATGAGGTACACTGTTCTCCAATGCGAGACTCTATCTCTATAAGTATTTGTTCAGGACTCTACCGCCAATATTTTTCTCAGATTACAAAGGTCTAAAGCTTGTCTTATACCGTGTTTCCACTGCAGCTAAACTAACATTTGTTAAATAACTTAAGATTTGGTCGTTCACATTGGCATTAACTTATTATTGCATAAACTTATATATGTATTTGTCAAAAAGTTCTGTGAAAGTTCTAGGAGAGCTTTCGTATATTTGAATTTCAGTTTTAAGCAGATAACATTTAGTTTTGTATCGTTAGCAGAATTTAATTATTTCGTCATTGTAAACGCAGAAATAATATTTGTATAATTGTTCACAACAGTACATATATATGAATGGTTTTTGCTTATTTACATTGTTTTCGTGTCAAATATGTCAAATTTGGATCATTCCGTTTTGGGAAATATATTTTGCAATGTTGCATTCCAGATTTTTCGTCTAAATTCCCTTGATTTATTCTTAACTAAGTTAAAAAGCACAAAAGCTATTCGTATGGTTAATCAAATTTCATTTGTAATTTTAACTCAATAAACTGGTCTAACAAAGCCAGTGGAAGCATACTATTAGTCAATTCTGAATAAATATGAAAACGGGATCGTGAGTGAATCAAGGTGCACTGGAGTCAGCTACAGACTACATAATATAAATTTTGAAATTAAACAGTTTAATTATTATATAAGTATAATTTATTCTCTTCTTTTTTTGTATTATAAATACTTGCTGCCAAAATATATAAACCAAAAATATTTGCAATACGGATGTCCAAAGTATAGAAATTTTTTCTTTCTTCAAAATCATATTATTTTTCTAATATGTGGAAAATTTAAGATGTAGACAGAAAATTTGTTTTTATATATTAGTAAAATAATATATTTAAAAAATATTATATTGTGTGCACGAAATAACTCTACAAGAAATTATACTTAAGATTTTAGTATTGTATAAATTTTATAACAATTTATTTTATATATAAAATAAAATATATGTATATTGTAATTTTATATATTATTTTAATGTATAAATATTTTATCATGTTATTAATATAAATATTGAATAAATATATAAATTTGGCTATTAATATACGTACCTTAAATAAATTATATTTATTTCTTATGTGGTTTTAATATTAAAGAAAACAATATTACTATAAATGAAATGTTATTTAAAGACATTTATAATTATTATATTTATAAAACTAGTCGTACATCGTTTTAATTATTTTTATTTTATATATTTTGGTTTACCATTTCATGTCGTTCATCAATAATTAAACAAAAACTGTTAATTTTTTATAATTGTTATAATTGTTTTATATTTCATTTTATATTTCACTTTAATTTAAATACTTATAACTTATATTTCAAAATCTAATTATTAAAATTGGTTACGCTTATGAATTTAATTCAAACAGTCGACTTAAAACTAAAAGCTTAATTTGGAATTCTTTATCGAATTATTAAGCTAATTAAAATTATTTTTTTAATTTTATATAACAAATATAACAAATGTCATAATATTAATTTATAAATAGCTTTATATCAACAATTTAAATAACAACTTATAATAAAATTTGCGTAGGTAGACGGCCAATTGGCGTCTGTGGTCAATAAGCAAAATAAACATTTTTTTCTCTGCAAACTCTTCATATGTAAACACAAAAATCAAATGAAACATTTTAATTTATGAATAATATTTTTAGCTAACTATTACTTTTAAAAATTCTTTTCCATATGTTTCAGACAACAACATATCGTTTTTATAAAACTTTTAAAAGACGAAACTTTTTAAGTTCAGGGTTCTTTTATTTCAAAAAAATTGCACTTGAACAAATTCTATGTTTTTTTTTGAGGAGGATTAGTCTAAAAAAAAAATAATAATTAAAAAAAAAATAAAAAATTATTTTAATTATATTATTATATATATTACATTAATCTGAATAAATAATAATTAATTAAAATATTTAATAATAATAAAAACAAAAACAAAAAAAAAATAATTAAATGAATTAGCAAATAAAATAATAATGAAAGAAAAGATATTTATAATAATAACAAAATTTACAAAAAATTGTTTCAACTTTAAAAATATATAAAATTTATCTAAATAAATAATAATGAATAAATAATAATGAGATAATGAATAAGTAATGATAAGTAAAAAGATATGTTAAAATTTCTAAAATTATAAACAGAAATAAAATTATAAATATACTAAATTAATAAATAATAATGAAATAAAATATATTAATAATGTCATATTTATGATTGTATATATAATATATATAAATAATATTAGGTAGTATATAATTCTTATATATATGAAATAAAATTAAAGAAATCCAATTGATGGATTTTAAATATGTATGTTTATATTAAATTATTGTTATTAATAACTCAAAGAGAATTATTATAACAAGTCTATGAAAACTATTAAAGTGTACATTAAATATTAGTATCGTACAAATATAGGAAATTAATAAGCGATATTATATTTTAAAATATTTATTTATAAAAGTAACAAAATAAAAATTTCAATTAATTGTAAATATGAATAAATTGAATAAATTCAATTGAATAAATTATTAAATGTATTATTTTAATCTGAATAAAAAATAATTCAAAACAAGAATTGTTATTAACAAACTATATCAATTATCATGAAAGTTATAAATAAAAATAGTATCGTAGAATATATTATCTAATAATATAAACAAAAAAATTAGAATTAATAATAAAATATATTAAATTAATCTAAATAAATAATATTAAATAATATAATAATAAAAACAAAAAATGGAAAAAATTAATTGTTTGGATTATTAAATATACTAAATTGAACTCAATAAATAATTATAAAAAAGTGATAATAACAACAAAATAAAAAAAAATGGTTAAATGATTAAATATTAAATTAATTTAAATAAACAGTTATATTAGATAAATTTTACAATCGATTTTATAAAAATCCTTTAATAGTTTGTTTTGTTATATTTTCGTAATATTTACTACGTCGCCATGCAGCGTTTGGCTTTTGGTTAGTATTAGAGCTTTGCTGGCTTTGATTTGAACAGGAGCTCACCTCTGGTGTCACCGATGTGACCGGTTCAAGTTCAGTCAAAATTTCCATTGATGGTGCATCTGCGATGCATGATTCTAATTCGGTTTCTGATTCGATTTGTATACTATTAAATATTCGTTGATTATCATCCGGTGTGGGTGTAACACTTTCACTGTGTAAATCTTCTATATCAGCAACACTTGCCTGATCATCATTATTGGCATTTTGTATTCCTGCTGCTGCACCTATAACATTATCATTTTCATAAAGTAATTGTTGTTGTTGTTGCTGGTGTTGCAATAAAATGGGTGAAGTCTGTAATGCTGATAAAAAACTATGTTCTGAGCCGTCATATGACATGTTAACCGGTGAAGCAAGTTCAGGCATATCAAATGCAAAAGTCGAATCATCTGCTTCGCTTGCATCAAATGAATTTTTATCTGAACTGATAAAAGACGATGTGCGTCCTGAAGCTGTTTGAAACGATGAAGATTGTGAATGCGGTGTAAAATTACCCTCCGATGCGGTTGCAAATGAATCATCTTCAGTAGAGCGAGAGTGCCAATCCTGTTGAAGCAAATTAAAGTTTGTTATTGTTTTAATTTATTGATTTTTAATTTTATTATTAAAAAAAAAAAAGATGTTAACATTTTAAACAATATAGCATTTATTTGTCTTCCATACTTACTTCGCTGCTATTGCTGCGTAAGGTCTCAAGTTTCCTTTCTGAAGAATTTGAGTTAATATCCAGTACATCACTATCATTTTGTATATCACGTATAACAGCATCCAATGATTCTGCCACTTCTGCAATATCAGTTAATTTTTGTGAAATTGCTTTGCAACCAATTTCATTATTTGCTGTCGGTTGCACAATTATTGTGGATGATGTGGTTGCACTAGTGTTTTCGTCTTGCGCATTGTTTTCCACATCAGTCTCACCAACAGAATTCGGGGTATCACTTGATAAATCATCTGCTACAACACTGTAATTATTTAAAGTTAAGTTTTGTAAATTTTCTATGGTATCAACTTTAGGATATTCAGTGGACATGAAAGTATTATCGTTCTCTACATTATAACTTTTTATTTCGGTTTCATTAGTTATATCTTTATCGTTTTCTATAGAACTAATTTCATCTATATTATATTTATTATTAGTTAATTTTAAATTTTCAATAACATTTGTGTCAGTTTCCACTAATGCTTCTGGTGCGTTTTCTACGATATTTTTATGAACTTCATTATTGCTGTTAACTGAGATTTCGGTTGCATTTTCTACAATTTCATTTTCAGTTTCATTACTCGTACTGCTCTCAACTGAGAACTCAGCTATATTTTCAACAATATCATTATTAACTTTATTACTATTGTCAACTAAGGATTTAGGTGCATTTTCTGTAGTTTGATTATTAATTTCATTACTGCTGTCAATTGAGATCTCATGAGCATTATCTATAATTTCGCTATCAGCTTCTTCATTACTACTGTCAGCTAAAGATCTGGGTGAATTTTCCACAGTTTGGTTATTAACTTCATTACTGCTGTCAACTGAGGCTTCATGTGCATTTTCTGTAGTTTGATTATTAATTTCATTACTGCTGTCAATTGAGGTCTCATGTGTATTATCTATAATTTCACTTTCAGCTTCATTACTACTGTCAGCTAAAGATCTGGGTGAATTTTCCACAGTTTCATTATTTACTTCATTACTGCTGTCAACTGAGGCTTCATGTGCATTTTCTCTAATATCATTGCTAGCTGTATTGCTACTGTCGTCTAAGTATCTGGGCATGTCTTCTGCAGTATCATTATCAACAGTAATGCTGTCAGCTAAAGCTTCCGATGCAGTTTCTACAATTTGATTATCAGCTTTTTCAGCTTCATTACTATTGTCAACTGAGGATTCGGGCTGATTTTCTACAATTTCATTTTCAACTTCACTGGCGTTGTCATCTATGTACTCAATATCCAAATCAAAGGAAACACTTTTAACTTCTTTTCTAATTTTATTTTGAGATTTTTCTTCAACTTCTGCAGTTTCTTTATTAGTTTTATTGACTTCACTTAGATCTGTACTTTTTAATAGCTTTTCTTCAACACCCTTTGCTGAAGAAGTTGTGCTTTCCAAATTATTTGCACTTTCTTCAGTGCTATTATTTTCTTTAATTTTGTCAACATTTATTTCACTTTCACCATAGTTATCTAAAATATCTTGTAAAATAGTTTTGAAATCACTTGTCGTTGTAAGATTATTTTCATTATTGCTTTCATTTCTTTTGATTTCAGAAATATTATTTATAATGCCATTTTCAATTCCTATATCATTTGATAAGTATTCATCTACAGTTTTTTGTAGATCATCTATGGTATCATCTAAACTTTGTATCTTTTTTTTATTTTCTTGTTCTAATATTCCATTACTGTGTATTAGTATTTCATCTTTATCATCTTCATTTGTCACTTCAATTATAGGAATTTCGATACCATTTTCTTTTGTAGCGCCAGTATTATCTTCCGGTCCTGGCTCAGGATCCGGTTTGGATTTTGAAAATAAATTACGAAATCTGGCGAACATTTTTACTTTTCTATAATTTTACTGTACTTCTTTTATTAGAAAAAATTTTAAACTAAATTACTGAGTCATTAATGGAATAATGATCTTATCGATTTACCAATTATTTACGTAATTAGTGTGACACGTTTATGGCCTTTTGCCAATACTAAATTTTAATTTTAATACATTTTTAAAAAATCGTAATTTTAAGTGAAACTTCTTTTCCTATTTTATTTCTTTTAAATTATTAACCATAAATTTAACAATAGATATTAACACATTTCTATTAATAACAAAGCAAGTTGCCATAAAGCACTTTTCTTAAATGAGTTTTCTCTGGTATTCAAAAAGTACACTGTCTGCACTATATAATCTATGTTTCTTCCTCTGTTATAATCATTAAAATTATATTAGGTATTTGAGGGCACACTTCAGTTTGTAATATTTTGTATGTGTTTTGTTGGTATTTTAAAATAAAATGACACACTTCAACCGTCAAGTTAACGCGCGCGATTTTAAGCATAAATTTTAAAAATAGAATGGAATATTTTCTTCCAAAATATTCCTCTATCTGAATGACAAAAAGTACAAATTTTTCGTTTTTCCTGTACCGGCACGATTTTAGGATTCTTGTCGAATACTTTTAAGTACCACGCTGGACCGCACACCGAAATAGACTGAACTTAAAACTTGTTGACTAGTCATATTCCTGCTAATATTTTTCCGGAAAGAGCGTACGAGTATTTATCTTTTCGTTCATATTATTAAACAAAAACGAAAATCATTTTTGTCAAGTTTTTGAGATACTTTTAAGTAGGCATGTATATAAATACAAGTATTATATATATTTACTTCATATTAGTTTATTTTATTCTCGTAGCAGCTGAACTGAAAACGTCTAGTTGTCGACACTGACGTACTGAGGCTGAGTTAGCTCAGTCTTAATTTTAAAATATAATTTTGATTTTACAAAAAAAAATAATATATTTAAATATATAAAAATGGTTTCCTCTTCTGAGTAGAAAAGAATTCATTTAACAAATTTGTAAAAAGAATTATATGTGTTGCATATTAAATCAACTTTAATTAATTATCATCAGCTGGTTTCTACATACTTTGAATACAAAAGACAGCTCAGTTTTGATATATTTTATATACTATATATTTTATAATTTTATTACTTGAGAAATTATATTAAAGTTTTGGTTCAAGTGATAGTATTGTAACACTCCAATATTAGATAGTGATAGCATCCTTATATATAATAGGATTTTTTTTAGGTTTTATAAAAAACCTTTCAATAATGAAACTCAAATATTAAAATTATTTCTTAAGATACTCGTTAAGAAACGTATGCAGTACTTTCATCCAGCTTTCGTTGAATTGCATAGGGTGCGGAGATTAAGACAATGAATGTTATTGGTTTTAATGTTAACCTTAACTTGCTTAAAACACTATCTTGAGAGGAAGTATAATAGATGATACAAACCACGTTGTATCCTTCTCTTTACTATTAATAAATACAGTCGTAACTATGCTTAAGTACATTTTGCAGTTTTGGAAATAAATATCTAAGATATGTTCAAAGTAATATCTACTATTAAGAGATAGTGAGTTATAGAGACATTAACCTATTATGATCTCGAATGGCTCACACTTTTTGTGCCCCAACAAATAAAACAAAATACGATGCCTCCATGAATAAACATCTTCGTTTGAATGTACGATATTCTGTAATCAAAAGGCTAGTTTGAATGGAATTACTTTACATCCATATCTTTCATATCTCGCTCTACTTATCTCGTTCTTCAAGTGTCAGATTTTTGTATTGATCCTTTTTCAGTGGAATATTTTTTCAATTTATTACACAAAATGAATCGTAATTTGACTTTTTCATTACGGATCTTACAGAGTAATAGTGTGTCCCTTCTGTAACACTTTTACACTTTGCATCAAACTAATTGATTAAAAATTTGGGTGTTCGTTTGACGGTCCATTGACATTATGTACATTTTGTAAGAGATAATATCATACTTTTGTGTAGAGGGTATCTGGAAATTAACATATAACTCTACAACTAATTAAAGTATTAGTGGTGTATTATATTTACTATGTGGATTTGGATTCGATTTATTACTCAATATATTTACATCAGCTATTTTTGGTATTATACTTTTAAGTGTTCTCCGATATCACAAAGCTATCGTTCTGTAACAGTTTTTTGGCAAGAAATCTTAGCAAATTTGTTTGACTAAGCACATTATATATATGAGGCGACTTTATGTGATATTTTTTTTGTTCTGAAATCTAAGATAATCACTTCGAGAAGAACGTTTCCAGTAGATTCTGGGGTTGAACAAAAATCCGTTAAGAATTTTCGAGTAATAACTTGAAAATTCTATTAAATATTGCCATAGTCCCATTACACTCGCTGAAGTAGATTTTGAATAATTGATTATTTTTTATAATTTTGTATATTTTTTATAAAATATTTATTAGTGTTTAATAAACATTTATTAATCATATCATTAACATCAGCGACATTTTGCTGGTGTTTTAATAAACATTAACCAGTAAATTGTTTATAATATTATTAAAATAATTTTTAACGAGTAAATTATTAAACTTAAGAGACTTAAAAATCAATTTAAACTTCATTATAGCATTGCTTTAAAATTATATTTATTCCTATCAGTTAGAATTATACTTCTTAAGTATAAAAGTTAAATGAGAAAAAAATTGTTAAAATGTTTTAATGATTTTTTCTCTATTTCCAAACTAATGAATATAAAATATTTTTTTAAATTAGAAACAGTAACGCTATGCTTAAATAAGCAATAAAAAATGTATTTGTTAAGTGATTCGATACAGTTAAGCATAATGAGCGCAAACAAATCAAAACTACTAAAAAATTACTTAATTAGTCATTTTGTTTAATAATTTTGAACAGAAAAGAATCAGCAGAATCATTATCGTCGCCTTCATCAATACTCAGTATGTCAGTCATTAAATAATATCTTTTTTGCGGAATATCTGCAACAAAGTCAACAACCTTTCACATACTATAATTCTCAGACATGAGATACACATTAAAAAAATCTGAAGTGACAGTTGCTATTTGCAGCATTTCTATTAAAGTTAAATAAACGCAAATTAATGCTAATTAAAATCGCATTTACAAATTATATATTTAGAAGAAGAAGAAGAAGAAAAAAAAACAGTTAGTATGAAAAGTGCATACATAGTCACGAACTCAAACCCACTGTTGAGGCGGAGTGCATTTGCATATGCAGAACCGTTCCGAGGCAGAAACATGCAAAGCACACAATTAATTTGCTTTTATTGTCTGCCAACGCCATCGGAAAATGCAAGATTGTAAAGCGGCAAATAAACGCCCGATGACGCGAAATGGTTAATAGCAAATAAAGTATGCGAAATCTCAAATAAACATGCGATAAAATTATGAAAAGCACTTAAGTAGTAGTGCTGTATTTTGTAGATAAACATAACGTCAGCCACTTTGCGCCAGCAAACGCGTTGGCCTGGACATGATAAAAAGTGATAGAAGCGCAGTTTAACTTACAAATTATGGAAAATAAGTTGCCTGTGATTCTAGACAAAATGCAAAGGACATAACATACAAGTAGTTTTGGAAGAATACGCACGTTAGATAAGACAGTTGAATGGGGAAAAATTTATTGTTAAAATGTGATAAAATTTAAGAATATTTTGCAGTTATTTAATTAACTATCTTACACCAATAATAGCCTATCTCTTCGCTTATATGATAACGTATGAGTAGTATTTTTTCGGGACAATTCTGGCAAAAATCGTTAAAAATCTTTTGCAAGATCTTTGTAAGATCAACCAAAAGAAAATTTGAAATATTTTTCTTATTCTGGCACAAAAGTCTTTCAAAAAAAAGTTTTATCATTTGTAATTCGTGGTAGAGAGCTGTTTTATTCTATTTCCTTCGTGACGAAATCAAACATAGTTGTTAAACTCTACCGCTTGCAAATAAACAATTGAATATTAATACAAATTTAATGGAAACCCACAAGATGTATATTCCATTATTAGGCCGTGTGCGAGTTTGAGTAAATTGATGGTAAATTGAGAGAATTAGTAAATTATGTGGGTATGACAGCGAATGTTGGTATTTACCAGAATTTCGAGTAGGATAAATTAGATCAAGATTAACTAACACTAATGTTACTATTGTGAAAATTTTATAAGACGTTTAATAAATAAATTTGAAAACTTTAAATCAAAAATAATAAATAAATACAATAAATAAATAAATATTTACATAAGTGCAGTGCAAAAAATCCCTAGAAAATTTTAATTTACTTTACCTCAATTTACTCAAACTCGCACATGGCATTATTATTTATAAATAAATAATTATTTACGTCATAATTATTTATTTACGTTATTTATGTCATGGTAGAAATGATAGTAGCTACTGCTGCAT